TCCCTGCCCACCTGGCACAGCCCCACCTCCAATTCCTGCCAGGAAAAGCCCCACCTCTCCCTGCCTGCCTCGAAAAGCCCTGCCCCCAATTCCTGCCAGGAAAAGCTCCGCCTCTCCCTGCCCACCTGGCACAGCCCCACCTCCAATTCCTGCCAGGAAAAGCCCCACCTCTCCCTGCCTGCCTCGAAAAGCCCTGCCCCAATTCCTGCCAGGAAAAGCGCCGCCTCTCCCTGCCCGTCTGGCACAGCCCCACCCCCAATTCCTGACAGGAAAAGCTCCGCCCCTCCCTGCACGCCTGACCCGGCTCTTCCCTGGCCCTGCCCGCTTGCCATGCCCTGCTCCCAACTTCCCAGGAAAAGTTCTGCCCCGGCAGAGGCCTGATACTCAGTAGGGAAATTCCCCACCCCGCCGGCAGTGCGTTAACACCCTGCATCTTCTCCACGTTGCCAGGGGGACTTTGCTCAGGCCTCCCAGCACCTGTGGACGGCCCTGAAGGCCCTGGGCCGCCCGCTACCCACCTCCAACTTCGACCTGACTTGCAGCCTCATGTGGAACCTCATCCGCCACCTGCTCCAGCGCCTCTGGGTGGGGCGCTGGCTGGCCGGGCGGGCGGGCGGCTTCCGGCGAGACAGCGAGCTGAAGGCTGACGTGCGCAAGAGCGCCCGCGATGCCGCCCTGGTCTACCACAAGTTGCACCAGCTGCACATGACAGGTAGGGGGCACCTGAGGGCCTTGATGGGGCTGTGATTACTGGGGGGTTGAGCCAGAGGGATTGGGTCCCCAGTGGAGGGATTGGGGCTGGATATGTGGTAGCCCCATCCCTGAGCAGGTTCCGTGCCAGACTCTCACTCAGCTGTGCCTGTCCCCCTCAGCCCCGACCCACAGCTCCCCTCCACCCCACAGCTATTCCAGCCCATGCCATGCAGGGAGGAGAGGCGCCAGCTGCTACCCCCCTTCCTCCCGCTTGTGCCGTGAGTGACCTGAGCCCTGTGGGGAGTCTGGCAAGGCAGGAGCGCCCCCCAGTGCCAGGCTGATGTCCCACATTCCCTCGCCCACAGGGAAGCACGTCGGGGGCCATCTCTCCGGCATCAACATGGCGCTGAGTGCCGTCAACCTGGCCGAGTGCGCCGGCGACACCATCTCCGTGGCGATGCTTGCCGAAATCTATGTGGCCGCAGCGCTTCGTGTGAAGACCAGCCTTCACCGGCACGTCCACTTCCTGGCGGTGAGTATGGCTCAGGGGTGGGGCTTGGCTCAGGGGAGGCGGGGCTCCTCCATGCCCCGCCTTCCCAGATTGCAGACACCAACCCCGGTCCCACCCACTGGGCTTCTCCTAGAGGGGACGCTACGGGAAGCCGTCTAGCCCGGCACCCCAGCACCACTGGTACCCACTGCCAGGAACCTATCCAGCCCGGTATCTGCACTGGGCCCATGTAGCTTGATATTGCCCCTTCCTGCTGCCTCAGACCTGCCCCTGGAGCTGGCTGCCAGCTCTGGCCGTGGCTCTCTGCCCAGACGGCACCGTCCTGCCTGGCTGCCCCTGGGGCCATGCAGCCAGAGGGGCTGACCCGTGTCTCTGCCCTGCCAGCGCCCCTTCCTGTGCAGTGCCCGGCAGGTGTCCCTGTCGCACAGCGGCACCGTGCCCCCGGCCATGCAGTGGCTCTGCCACCCTGTGGGCCACCGCTTCTTCGTCGATGGAGACTGGTCTCTGAAGGGCACCCCGAGGGACAGTATCTACAGCTCCACCGGCAACCCAGGTACCACACCCCCCCCCCCCCGCGTCTCACTGCCCAGCTCCGTCTCTGCGTGGCACCAAACTGGGGGTGGGCACTGCCCTGTGGGAGGCAGACAGGGGCTGTGCCCGCACTCCCCATACTCAGCTCTGCCGATGCCCCTCACCCCTGAGGCTTAGACACTGTGGCCTTTGTCTCCAGAAAAATGGGCCTCTTTCACATGACCTAAAGTGAGCCTTGCCTGCCCTGCCCTTGGCATTAGGGATGCTGGGCGCCCTGCCAGGCTCCAGCCTGCCCCTTGCCTTTATTAACATTGTGGTTCCTGGACCCCCTGTGCCAGCTCTGTGCCTGGCAAGGGCTCCAGGGTCTGGAGATGCAGCATTTGGGCTCCAGTGCCCCTCAGCTGGTTCCTCCCCCAAGCCAGGATGCTCCAGGCATGGGGAGGTGATAGGGCCTAATCCCCCCCCTCCCCCCCGCCACCCAACTAACAGGCCTCTCTTGGCGCTTCCCATGGGGCCCAGTGGACCCCCTGGCTCAGGTGACCCAGCTGTTCCGTGAGCACCTGCTGGAGAAGGCCCTGTGCTGTGTAGCCATGCCGGAGCCCAGCCCGCCAGCGGCCCATGGAGAAGGGTAAGTACCAGCCGTGGGGCCCAGGGCAGGGATGCACCCAGCCTGCCAGCTCCTGGCTTCCTCCCAGCCTGCAGCACCCTGCCGGCGACCACTCAGTCCCTCTCCTGCAGGGCTGTGGCCTGAGCATCCATCTGAGGGTCATGCCTGGTGGCCCCTCCCACCAATGGGTTTGTGCCACCCGCAGCACCTCTAATTCCTGGGGAGGGGGCGGGGACCCAAGACGGTTCGTTCTCCTGGCACCCGTCCTTAACGGCTCCTCTCCCCCTCGGCCTCAGGGAGTTCTCCGATGCCCTGGAGTACTTACAGCTGCTCAACGGCTGCTCAGACACCGCTGGCACCCCCAGCTGCACCCTCTCCATCAGCTCCGGCATGGTGGCTGGCACAGGTGAGGCCATCGCTGACCAGTGCGGACGGGGGGCAGGGGAGGGGGGTCCGGAGCCTGGCACATGGCCTGGCGCTGAGAGGCAGGACTAAAGCTGCGGTTGGGACTCTGCATGGGCAACTGCCTGGAGCACGCGGCACCCAGGGTGTCCAGGCCGAGGTGGGCGCAGTGATCCCGGGGAGCGTGAAAGGTGGGGCAAGTGGGTGTGGGGGGTGCTGTGCAGTGCAGGGCAAGGCATCTGCGGTGGGTCGGCCAGGGCAGGCGAGTGTCTGTTCCTCACCGTGATAGGCTGGCTGATGCCATCGGTCCCGTGTCCCCCGCTCGCAGGCAGCGACCCCGTTGCCAAGTGGTGGGCGTCCATCGTCGCCGTGGCGATTCACTGGCTGCAGGGGGACGATGAGGCAGCTGAACGGCTATACCCGCTGGTGGAGACCATGCCGAGGGCCCTGCAGGTGTCGGAGTGAGTGTCTGCAGGGATCGGGAGGGGGAGCGCGGCGGGGGGTGCATCGCTGGGACGGGAACGGCTGAGCTCTGCAAGGGAAATGCACCAGGGATCTCGGGGATGGGGGAGTGACACAGTGTCATGTGATCAGCTGTGCAGTCACATGATCTCCAAAAGGGGTGCCCATTCCATCTCAGGGAGCCAGCTTTGGGGGTGAGGCTGAGAGACGGGGCAGCATTGAACAGGGGTTGATTATCCCAGCCCACCCCTCAGTGCTGGGAGACCCCCACCAGGGGCACCATGATGACCCTCTCCCCCTCCGCTCGTGCAGGAAGCCCCTGCCCAGGGCCGCGCTGCACTCCTTCAAGGCCGTGCGGGCCCTGCTGGGGAAGCAGGACGGCAGCCAGGCCAGCCTGGGCCAGTGCGAGAAAGCCAGCGGCTACCTGCGGGACAGCCTGGGTCTCAGCTTGCCTGCCACTGGCACCCTTGACAAGGTGAGTCCCTGGGCTGTTCCCTGTGGCCTCGGCAGGGGGGTGGGTGAGCAGCTGTGTCTGATCACTGACTGTTCTCAGCTGTGTAACCGGACTCTCCCCTAGCATGCACCGCATCCACTGAAAGGCAGCCACCTCTGGGGCGAAGCACGCAGGGTTCCAGGAAGCAGGGTATGGTGCCGTATGCAGCGGAACCGTCTGGCTCTCTCAGGCCACGCATCCGGCTGTCCACGGGGCCTGCGCACCAGACGCAGGAAAGGACCATCCAGGGGGGCGCAGCACAGTGGCCGCAGCTGTGGTGCATTGTAGTTGCATTGCATGTGTGAGAACAGGTGTGCAATGCCCCTGCAGTGCAGCCCAGATGGGGCTTCTTCCAGCACCGAGCGCCAGCCTGCAGCAAGGGGCCAGGGCAGCAGTGCCCCCGCTGGGCACTGCAGAGGGCTGCTGTCCAGCACCAAGCACCGGCCCTGGCAGACCCCGGGGAGGCGCCCCCAAGCCGTAATTCCTTCGCACCGGCCATCGCCTGTCAATGGGGCATCACCGTAGCCACCAAGGAACTTGGAAAGGTGGGACCCAGATGGGCCAACCAGTTCCATGGTGCTGCCGTGGGAGGGTCAGGCCCAATCTCCCTGGCCCGCGCCTGCTCTCTGCGCGGCGCAGCCCTGGGTGGTGTCTGTGTCACACAGTGTGTCCCCTCCCCCTCACTGGTGCCCCTCTCTCCCCCCAGGCAGTTCAACTCCTCCTGTGCGATCTGCTCCTCGTGACCCGCACCAACCTGTGGCAGCAGCAGATGAATGTCAGCCAACAGCTGAGCTGCGTCTACCAGGCCTCGGCCCTGGAGCTGCGGGGCTTCCAGCAGGACCTGAGCAGCCTGCGGCGCCTGGCCCAGACCTTCCGGCCAGCCATGCGCCGGGTGAGCCGCGGGGGGGAGTGTCTTGGGGGGGGTTCAGCTCTTTGATTTCTTTGTCTGCTGAGCACATGCTCCCCACCATGATTGGAGGCCCCATGGCTGGCACTGTGCCAGGGGATGGGGATGGGGTCAAAGTCCCTGGGTGCAGACTCTCCCTGGGGACTGGGCTGGCGCGGGGCTGCCTGGAAGCTGACTGTCCATGTGGGCTGCTCCCCAGGTGTTCTTGCACGAAGCCACTGCCAGGTTGATGGCCAGAGCCAGCCCCACCAGGACCCACCAGCTGCTGGACCGCAGCCTGCGCAGGAGAGGGGCTCAGAGCAGCAAAGAAGGTGAAGGGGGAGCCTGTGGCCCAGGTGGTGTGGGAGCAGCAGGGGGAAGGGAGCCCAGATTGCCAGAGATTGGGGGGGCTCCGCTGGGCTAGCAGGGACTGGGGCATGTGCCCGGCCCTGCCCTTGGGCTAGGAGGAGGATGCAGCTTCCATCGCCCTGTCTGTCCTGGGACTGCCAACTGGTGCCAGCTGTGGGGCTGTATGGCCGCCCCTTACGAGAGGGACTGAGACCCAGCCGCTCATGACATGGAGAAGTCCCACCAGGTTAGGGCATGGGTGGGCTGGGCTGAGGACTGCGTGCCCGAGTGGCATGACACCAACACACCCTACCTGTGGCAGCAGATGGGCTCAGTTCAACCTACCTCTGCAGCCTACTTGGTACAGGACTGCGGGGGGCCAGTCTGGGGTGTAGGGATCAGCAAGACCCCCAGTATGTGGCTGGCAGCGCTAGCGCTGGAGCAGTTGTTGGCACCCTGGGGCCGAGGGGCAGGACCAATCCCCCCATCCATCTTTGCGCATCCCCCTCTGTGCAACGGGCGCGTGATCGTGGCCTGGGCCTTCCCCTGCCCGGCCCTGTCACTCCCCTGGGGCCCCTCTGTCCGTGCTGGCGGCCAGTGCTGAACCACCTGGGCCCTGTGTTTGCTCTTGCAGCCAGCGAGCCGGAGAGCCACCCCACGCCGCGGGAGCACGCCGAGGCCCTGCTGCTGGCTTGCTGCTACCTCCCACCCAGCTTCCTCTCCGCTCCAGGCCAGCGCGTGGGCATGCTGGCCGAGGCTGCCCGCACCCTGGAGAAGCTGGGTGACAAACGGACGCTCCATGACTGCCAGCAGATGATCATCAAACTGGGCAGCGGCACCACGGTCACCACCGGATAGTGCCGTGGCCGGCAAGCCATGGACCATGGGGGTGGGGAGGCCACTGCTCTAATGGGACTGATCCAGTAGTAACTGCTCCAGCAGGGCTGCTGTGCTGTGTCGTGGCCAATGTGTTTCCTTGCTTAATTGGCGGGAATGTTAGTCATTACTGCTGGGAGGGGCTGGGAGCTAGGACTCCTGGGTTCTATTCCCGACTCTCTTCTCTTACCCTGGGCAAATCACCCACACGTGCCTCAGTTTCCCCACGGGTGTAATACACTTCCCTACCTCAGGGGGGTGCTGGCTGCCAAGTGGTGACACTGTTGATGGGGGGCTGCCCTGGGAGCAGAGATGCTGTCATGGCGGAGGGAAGGACGGGTGCTCTGAGGGGGCTAAGTGTAGAGGCTGGGGCTGGTGGGGGGCGGGGTTGCTGGCCAGGGTGGAAGGGGTCCAGCCTGGCCTTGGCTAGAAGCACGCCCCCAGTATGTGTGGGGTGCCGGGGGCCCCGTGGCCCAGGCTCTGTGCAGGCGACTGAGTGCTGGCCCTCGGAGACACAGCCAGGCCCTTCGTTGGTACGGTCCGTGGGTGCCGAGGGCTGGGCCCAAAGAGCTTCCAGCCCCTCCCCTGTGCTAGGGCCTGGAATCCCAGCTGCTCTCCTGCCCTCACCCTCCAGCATGGCCCCCCACCCTGCTCCCTGCCCTGCCCCAGGTCTCCCTCCCTGCTATGCTGGGGGTGAGCACGGGGACCTCTAGTGGCGCCTTCTCAGTATTACAGTATTGGTCCCTTGCTCCAGCCCTGCTCCCTCGCCTCCAGGCAAAGCGTTCGAAGCTGCTGCCCCTGCCTCTGCCCCACCGCCCGCCCTAGATGGTGGAAGGCCTCGGACTCCCTCCCGCAGCAGCTGGCAGTGCCTACCCTGGTTGTGCACAGTGTGGTGCTGGGCATCAACTGCGGGGGCTTCAGGGAAAGGGAAGAGGGCAGGGCTGAGGTGGAGGACCCTGGCAGTGGTACCCATGGGGGTGGCCATGCCCCAGGACTCACAGCATTGCCCCCTGCCCTGCCTTGGCCCCTTCGCCTGCGTTTCCTTTTTAAAGGTTATTTTCATAGTTGGAGAGTTTTGTACAGACGATTAAAGCTGCTTATTTATAGTTGTGCCTGTGCTGGATTGTGAGGGGGCGCTGGACCCGACCCCCCA